GCCTCTTTATTTCAGCGGATTTCCTTTTCAGCGGGGGTGGTTTAAGTAGCATTTTTTTTTCTTTTTTTTGGTAAAATTTACATTGAAACAAAAAAGTCACTTTTTTTTAGCAATTAAATTGTTAAATCAGCAATTTATTTTTTCCTTGCAACCATCGCCGTCCCGCGTCGCCGGTTTCGTTTACCTCACATGAGATAGTTCGGCCCGTCGCGGGAGTGAAAATCAAAGATGACGTTTGGATTGGCATTGGTCGATTTTTGTCCACTGTATGTAACTAAGTAATTGGTTGGCGCTCGAGATTTTTTCGGTCGGACACCGGCTGGCAATCCGATTCAGTTGGATATTTTTAGACACGCTTAATTGTTGAGGTGTTTAACCATAGGGTCTCTGAGACGAGAGTTAGGATCAAACGCGTCTACAGTTAGAAGACGAATGCTATTCGCAACTCGCGGATTTGGAAAAAAGCGAGTGTTTGCGGAGCTGCGTTCTAAATTTATTCACGTGTTGCGATTTTAAATCACCGCTCTCGTCACGGTCGGTCTTCATTTTGCAACATAGAATTGCCAGTGGCGTAGCGTGCTTTACGATGTATCGATCAATCTGCCATTGGAACCTATGGAAAAGAATCGACAGACAGCACTGGAAAAAAAACACATTGGATGTAGAGTCCAGACCCTTAAAAACATCGACAAGAAAAAATACTCTTGATTTAATCAGATTTAAGCTTAAATCAAAAACCAAGCCTCTTAATTTGAGCGGATTCCGTTTTGATTTAAACTTAAATCTGATTGAATCAAGAGTATTTTTTCTTGTCGATGTTTTCAAGAGTCTGGACTCTAGATCCAATGTATTTCTTTTTTTTTTTTTTTTTCCAGTGAGGGTGTTTGCAACGATCAGCTTATTAATCAATTCTGTGCCACAGCTTCAAATGAGGGCAAATCGATAATCTATCATTTTACGCCTCGCCAGTGGTCCAAGTTTTAGCTCATCTTAAAAGTTGCAAAATGTGTTGGCCTCTTTCTAAATAACGTCAATGTGTACCAAAATTACTTGTAACTTTCAATGTTTCTCTGCAAAAGCGAAGATAACTCCGCGATTTGTTCCGCATTCATACTGTCGTGCTAAGGAAAAACGCCGTATGAACCTTCGGGTGTTACCAAATTTCCTTAGATAAATCACGAAATTCGGAAACAAATTTCAATATTTTTCTTCCAATTTTTTATATAATTTTGTTCGCAATTCCACCTAAAGTTTCTGAAAATTTCAATAAAAAATATTCATAGCTTTCTTTAAAAATAAACATTTAATCGAAGGAAATTTAGCAACTCTCGAATATTCATAGGGCGTTATTTTCCCTAGCACGGCAGTAGATCCGGTTATTTAAAAGCTACAAAAGTTCCGGATTGAAATGCACTTTGAATTTCCGGAAATTTCTTCAACGCAGGTGTTTGAATATCAATTTCTTTAATTCCTTTCTGCAGAACGCCAGCCATAATATTAATGTCCGCAGAATCGATATAAGTCGCTAATCAATGCAATCGGAAGAATGAGTTCTGTGAATGTATCGCGCGGTGACAACAACTGTCATAAGAACATTTACTCGCGAAATCTATTATTCATCAAATTTTTGCAATAATCGGAGCTAGTACGGACGCTTGCTTTGTCTTCACTGCAAGCGCGACGCGTGCCGCACATTGCAATTTTCCAGTCGGCATGACGCAAACGCAATTTTCGATTTATGTGACTGCGCTCTCTTACTGAACCGGTCGCATCAAAAACGCGCCATTGACGGATCTAGCAAATTGGCAACACTGTTTTTCTCCATTTAAACCTATGGAAATGAATCGATTCTTGGAGGGGTGCCCCGACAAGAATCGATTATTTAACATAGGTTTAAATGGAAGGAATCCGTTGTTGCCAAATTGCTAGATCCGCCCCTGAAAACGCCACAACTCCATTTTGAACTTTTCGAATTTGTTCCTAACATTGTCTTATATGATAAGGAGACCAATAAAAATAATCCGTTTGATTTCCAGCTCACAGGGCAATTAGGCTGGGACCCTGGTAAAAATTGGCAATAGGAACCGCGTCTCCAAATACCATAGGAATTCTTATAGCCGGCTATAAAATGCGATAGAAAATCATATAGCTGGCTGTCGAACGCGCAGAAAATCGCACAGCCGGGTTTTACGAAGCGATAAAAAATTATACAGCCGGGCTATAGTTCCTAGCGCCAGGCTGTACAATTTTTCGCCACGTAAGAAAAATTTATTTTGGTTATCAAAATTTCTGTCATAACAACATTCTCGTTTTGAAAGGTACAGCCAGGTACGAAATTACATGTTTACCATTTTTCTTTTTATTTATCGAACAAACTGAGGAAGGCTGAGTTATCACCCAAAACGTTTTGATTTTATTCGTGAAATTTTAGCCTTCTTACCCGCTATTTAAATTGTTTTTTATTGTATATCTTGTCACGGACTGCGGAGTGTCTACTGTCATATGGCGGCTTCATCGCCATCGGCTATAAAAGGCTATAAGAAAGTGTATAGCCGGCTATAAAAGCCATAGGAAATCTTATAGCCGGCTGTAGGTCTATAGTAACACAAACCGCATTTTGATATCTGCTACCGTTCGTCAAAAAAATAAAATAAAAAAAAAAAAAAAAAAAAAAACCACGTGCAGTACTTTTGGGACAACCTATATATTTTGAACACAGTTCCTACGGCCAATTTTTACCAAGGATACCGGCATGTAACCTTTTAAGCTTTTCGACAAGTATTTATTCAGAATTACCTATTTTTCTTGCTTTTTTCACGTAAAAATCCGGGGTTTCGAAAATTTTTCTTCGACACGAGCGGATTCCCTTACGGGAAGGAGTGCCTTGATTTCGTCTTACAAAAATTTTTGTACATTTGCGCCTTATGGACTCTAGGGACGTGTCTAGGGACCGAAAAATAAATTCGACGTAAGCGGTATCTCGTCTAAATCATAGTTTGACTTAGCGAGCTTTTACTGTACTTACCTATAGCCTCACTGAAACTTCATTTACAAGTGGTTTTTTCCCTTTAAAAATAATAAGCGTCGCCTGGAGCAATATCAGTAAGATTGACAACGTTCTTCCGCATCGATAACAAACCATTCCTCTCCAGGAATCCTACATAAGTCATAAATTTTTACTAATCTGACATCTGAAGACGTGATCAGCTGAGCAGAATTATTCAGCCTGTGGTTAAAGAGGATAATGCGTTTCTCTTTTCATTCGCAATAACGATCCAATTCTATAATATTTGCCAATTCGTCGAGGTGACTGATCGTATCACTGATTCGGACCAGTGGCGTGGCGTGAATTGCGATATATCGATTGTTATGCCATTTAAACCTATGAAAAAAGATCGATCATCAGGGTGTTCGCAGTGAACACCTTAATAATCGATTCTTTACCATAGCTTCAAATGGTGAGATATCGATAATCGATTATTCACGCCACGCCACTGATTCGGACTCAAGCAAGGACTTGGTCTCAGGAAATCGTTCAATAGAAATAAATTTGACAACTAACGTAAACAAGGCAATTATGCCCCACCAAAATTCATCGCTAAACTCATAAGGCTATTGGTGGAAAGAAAATTGGCCACAGGCTTATTGGAAATGAGTTGGCCGGGCCAAATTTTCTTCGTTCCATAAGTGTCAGATTTTCAGTAAATATTGATGCTCACGGTCGAAAAACCAGAAAAAAGAACCGCACGGGACATGCAATAGCCGATCCGGAAATTATTTTTATTTGGGGGTATGTGTTCACAATTTTTCATCGAAGTTTGGAGAGTCCAAGGACCAGCGAGGTTAAAAAAATGTTTATGCTCCATGAATGTTGTGCTTTTTTATCTTCCAAAACTTTAATTGAAAAATTTTTTGTGCCACATTTAAATTCAATACATCATTTTTTTCCCCCATGAGAAGTGTGGTTGATTGACTTTTTTCGGTAATTTGCTAATTAGCGCATTTTTTTTTATGGAAAAAAGAAACCACGGCACAAAGTTTCGGCGTAATGTATGATTTTTTCAACAAATGCAGGATTTTATGTCAAAAAATTGCCTCAGGTGAACAAAATTATTAATCCTTAGCATGAAACATGTAATTTAATATGTGTGTATGATAAAATGCCAGTAATGGGCTTACTTCTCATAGTTTGTACTGATTCCTACTTCGGTCAATTGTATGCTCATTTTCTTGTTTTAATTTTAGCTTTCATTATTTAATTAAAATTAAATTTTAGCTTGCGTTCCAGTTGAGAATCGGCGCGTTATTGGTCCGAAGCGTCCTGGTTGTGTTTGTTTACTCTGTTATTAGCTAGGCTTGTAACCAGGGTGGCATGAAACCTAAGATAGAGATGAAAGATTGGAAATTTCAGTTAAATCATTCATGGAATTTCACGAGGCTGTAAAATATTTCATATTTTTCAGGAGTTAGAGTATGCAACCCGCACTCAAAGACGCAAAAATAAAAGAAAATCGCAATGTATCCATTTTGCGAAACATGAAAAGGAACCGGTTTTCTTCAATATCTTTCATACATTTCTGAAATTTCATTAAATATTTTACGTGAAATTTCAAGATTTATTTTTCATGATATTTTGCCACCCTGCTCGTAACCCCCATTTCTTGTGTACTTCTTGTATTTTATCGTTTGAATACAGGATTTTGCGTTGTGTCTCTCGTGTGTGTGCACGCACCTTGTTTTTTCAATTTTTATTAATTTTGTGAGTCGCCATCAACAAAATGAACGCCCCTCTTTTTTCAAAATAAGTTGGCTCCTATTTTTCAGTACAGCAGAGTTTATACAACAGGTTGCTAGTTACCATGTGGCAACACCGCAAAATGATATGAATTTAAATGATCTCTCTCTCTCTCTTTTTTCACGCGATTCCTCCGTTCCTTTTCCCATGCTTAAATTATCGGGAAAATCTGAATCATAAAAAAAACTCGCTACAGAAGGCTATGTGCGGTGGACCTGGGTATCCTCATATAAAAGCAGAAGATCTTGGCCTCCACACGTATTCTAAAAACCTGAGTGATCTGTGAAGTAAGCTTTACCAGTGTTAACATGAAATCTTCCATTGCTGTTTTAGCCGTTCTTTCCGTTTTCGCCTGTGTCCAGGTACGTGGTCAATTGATAGCTATAACGATCGAAACATTCCGTACACTGGAAAAAAAACACATTGGATCTAGAGTCCAGACCCTTGAAAGCATTGACAAGAAAACATACTCTTGATTCAATCGGCTTTTTGCTTGAATCAAAACGAAATCCGCTTAAATTAAGAGGCTTGGTTCTTGATTTGAGCTAGATTCTGATTGAATCAAGAGTACTTTTTCTTGTCGATGTTTTTAAGAGTCTGGACTCTAGATCCAATGTGGTTTTTTTCCAGTGTACTCAGAAATCATCACGCTTGTCTTTAAGAAATGACATGCAGAAAGCTTGAAATTTAAAACATCTGAGAAACTGGTGTTGATAAGAGATGGGATTGATCTTTTTTTCTACCTAAAATATTCGAAACATAACGACGCACGGTCGCACTGTGGATCGATTCGATAGGAGAGGTCGGGCATTTGGAAACTCTAAAAGCTTATAACTCCGGTTTTACAACACTTTGAAGTTCTAAAAATGGTTCCGTTGGTTTCCTTGTGAAATTCGCTTTCGCCCCTTGAAATTTAAAATGTGGCGAAATAAACATCAAAATTTGCAGTTTTAGTAAAACATTTCAGGTCCGACCTCTCTGATTGACTCGATCCTCTTGCCGGACCACGTAACTCGTTTGCGGTGTTTAAAAATCACCGCTCCCGTTTAATTGTTTTAAAGGAAAACATATCAATGTCATTTCTTGAAATTATCACAGACTTTTCTTCGCACACAGTGGGAAATACCTGGAAGTTTTCAAGCATTGATGTTGAGTAGTTTTCCTTTTAAAAATAGTATGACAGGAGGTCTATACTGCCGTGCTAAGGAAGAACGCCGTATGAACATACGGGAGTTGCCAAATTTCCTTCGATAAAAACCGAATTTACTGTGAAAATTGTGATTATTTCCCCAAAAATTTTTAGAAAATTTTGTACACAATTAAATCTAAAATATCAAGGGAAAAAAATTGCAAGGAAAAATGCTCATAAATTTCTTCAGGAACGCACATTTTATCCGAGGATATTTTGGCAACTCTTGAATGTTCATACGGCGATCTCAGTGGGAAAAACCTGGAAGTTTTCAAGCATTGACATTGAGTAGTTTCCCTTTTAAAAATAGTATGACAGGAGGTCTACTCTGCCGCGCTAAGGAAGAACGCCGTATGAGCCTTCAGACGTTGCCAAGTTTCCTCCGATAAAAACAGAATTTGATGGGAAAATTACGAGTATTATTTGCCAAAATTTTCAGACAATTTTTTACGCGATGTAATCTAAAATATTTGAAAATTTCAAAGAAAAATGTGCATGATTGCCGGCAAAAATACATGTTTTATCAAGGGAAATTTGGCAACTCTCGGATGTTCATACGGCGTTCTTCCTTAGCACGGCAATATAACACCGCAAAGCGAGATACGTGGTCTGGTAGTTTCACCGTTGAAAACCATTTACGGGAAATAGAGCCCTCGTGAGAGGAGTGAAATTTTTCGGAAAAGCGATCCTTATCCAATTAAGTAGAAAATTCGACTTCTACTCGCAACATCAGTAGCATAGTTGATTCTTTTAAAAATACCGTAGACACACGTCATTGAAAAACAGAAATCGAAATCAATGTGTTGGGAGTAAAATTAGCGAGAGTTTGAAAGTCTCTCGTGCATATTTCCACTGGAAATGAAACACGATCTTTTAAACCTTGGTGATATAGAATCCTCATACATATTGTTATGAAATAGATGTTAATATTTGTTAATAGTTGTTAACAGTTGTTAATAGTTGTATAACAGTTGTTTTACGTCCAAAGATTTTAGTGTTGTAAATTCATCTTTTGATTCCGAATCCGAATGGTTGATTTCCGAATGGTATTTTCTCGATATCGAACCCGTTGATATCAAGAGAACCATTTCATTGAGGATGAAGCTAAACCTGGAGTAGAAAAAGCTTTAATCATCTTCTCTGTCTCCCCCTTATTCATCTTTACTCTCCGGTCTATAAGCTCATTTCACCATTTTCGCATGTATCCAGTCATTATAGAAAATTTATTTCCTCGTAATGATTGCAAATATATGCGCGAAAATTATTTTTCAAAATAATAAATCCATGGGCACATGTTTACGTTTCTTCTTCCTCCCCCCCCNCCCCGCTTACCCCTATTTGTTCTCTTTATTCCTTTCTTCCCTGCTTGTTTCGCAAGTACCTTTTCTTGTTCCTCTCCTTCCAAATATTTCATCTGTATCGTTCTCCCTTTCATCTCCCTCTTCATTTTTTAGCATTGTCCATGCCCCCCCCCTCTTTAATTCCTCCACTGTCATTTTCATGTTTTCAGTATTTTCTACCCTCTTTTATTTTCCTGCATGCTTCTTTTTTGTCTGTCTCCTTGTGAGTATTTCTTTCTATTTTTTTTTGTCTTTCACCTACTTACTTTTATTTTCTCGCTTGCTTCTCTTCACTATCTTCCTCATATTTTTTTATCCTTACTTTGATTCCACCTAAAATATCTCGATAAATTAAACCGGGGTCAGCCTGGGTGCATTTTATGATGCCCAATTTTTACTCATGTTTTATATCTTTATCCGAGAACTAAACTGCATATAAACTCTCTTTGAATTTACCTTAGGTCATGAAGAATATACTCACAAAATTTCAAGCTTCAGTGTTGCGTAATTTGATACTTAAAAAATAAAATATCCGAAAAAAAGAGGCAACGTCTGGGATTGTTAAGCTATTTCCGGTGTTTACCATTCATACCTTCCAAACTCCCTCTTACTCCGCTTTACTATTCCCTCTCCTTATTTTTATTGGGTTACCTTTCTTTCTCGTATCTCTCCTCTTTTTTCTCCCATTGCTAATCCTCCAATCTTTCATGAAAAATCCTCATTATATTAAAACGGAAAACAATTCATATCCGTCATACTCCAATTTTAATGCGGATTTGATGTTTAATTTGAGTTTATTTTATGAATGAAGGAATAAAATGAAATTTTATGTCTGTCTAGGCGCAAGACGCGAAGCAAAAAGTAGCGGCGGTTGCGGAGAAATGCAAAACAGAGGTTCGTGGAGGCCACGGTAAGGAATATGAAGTCGTGTTCTCTCGCGTATGCATGCTTGTTTACAGCAAATATGCAGCGTGTTTGCGTTTGAAGCAAAGTGTTGAACAATGATTAATTATCTTTTGTGGGAGAAAAGTGAGGGCTTAATTGTGATTTTTATCAAATAACAAATAAGAGAAGGGGTGACAGAGGTGGAGGGAGACTATATTATACCTGTCAAACAATTCTACGCGTTTCCTCGCTCTCAGATAGAATCAGGGGAAATAGCCGTGAAGAATGTCTTTTACTCGATTGGAGGTGAATGATGGGGAAAAAGATCTAGGCAGTATTAGAATTAAATATCAGTAGAAAAATCACTGCAACGTTGCATATTTTCATCAAATTTTGATTCCAACATAATACTGTCATATAAACATAATTCAACAATATGCCGGCCAGGTTGGCCTAGTGGTCAGCGCGTCTGACTCTAGGTCAATAGGTCCCGGGTCCGAATCCCGGTGATGGCGTCTAATTTCCATGAAATTGACGAGTAGATCTGCTGAAACAGATTCTACTCGGTCCTAATCCCTGAAAATTTGGAAAGCCCGTAGCATGGATGTGCCTAAATCCCACGATGTCTACGGATAATAAACACAGTCTAAAGTTGGCTGAAAGTGCTAGACACGAAGCCATAAAACCAGCAGGGGGAAAAAAAATTCAACATTATTATCGCGTCTCTTTGTGAAGGAGGTCATCTCAATTTGAACAATCGCTGTCAGTGTGGGACTAGGGTCTTTCTTTGCGTTTTTTCACCCCTATAGAAGGGCAATCATTATTAGAAATAAACCCTTAATATGCATGAGGAGGGAACGAAAGAATCCTACACTGAGAAAAAAAAAACTATTATTATAATATTAAGGTGTTCCATATGAGTTGTTACTTCACAGTAGCCAAAAACAATTAAAGTAGTGTTTCTACCATTAAGAGATAATTTTGCCGAATTGTAGTACCCTCTGCAAACAGAGCGATAAAATTATTAGTTAATAAGAAAAACGCAACTAAAATTGATACTTAAGAATTCTAATCATAGTTTTTCCCCGTGAGCATCGTGGAATTTAACGCCATTTCAGCCCTACGCAGCAGAGTTTTGCCAGATTTTGAAGTTAATTTTGGAATGAGCAATGGTACCACTTCGTATATTTTGGAAACATTTTTATTAGTCAGGTTAGACCTATTGATAATCAAAATCCTCCTCTCCAGGAGAATATCACCATGCCATCTGCGGGCTGATTGTTGAAATTAATAGACAAAGCTATGGATAAAATAGACGTATGAAGTATGGAGCGATCTTATTGATTGAAATGGGTGGGTCTTATAGATTAAGGGGATAAATTATGGACTAAAGAAAGGGTCTCTCGTGGGTTGCTGTTAGTTAGTCTATACCTCATTTGCCAATTGTAACCACCCGCTTCCACCAATAGGATCCCTCAATATCTCTTTTATCTTATTTTTCTATAGCTTTGTCTATCAATTTCAACAATCAGCCCGTTGTACCAATCCATTACAACCCCGGCAACTTAGGGCTGACGGCCACTGGTCAGTAGGTAGCATTCACGCATGGACCACGAAAAATTACCCACCCGTCCATTTTCGCAATAGCCCGTCACCCATCGTTCACACATAGATTAAGAAATCGGAAGTGTCAAACACTCTCACTGTCAGGCCTGTTGCACGGTTAAACAAAGTAGCCTTCAGTTCATCATCGTTAGCTAACAGCGCGTAAAGTGGCGTAACAGAAACAGTGCAATTCTCTCTCTGTTTTGCACCAAAAAAAAAACGGTTGAACGGTTATACGCTTGAACTTCATTCGAATAATGAAGGCTTTCTTAAACCGCACCTTCAGTCACAATTGAAACTTTATGTGGCGTTTTCAAGGAAAGGGTGTGTTTAAAGAGTGACTTTAGATACGGCCCTATGAGGAGAAAAGATAAGGCGGAAAAGTTAAAACAACAATTAAGTTACAGATTTTCCTAATTTAGTTACCACATTGTAACCAAATGGCCAGACAGATACAAGAAAAACCCAATGAAAAATCTAATCGTCACCAATACTCGATCAGAACATAATATGCAATTACTGCCGTGTTACGAATAAACAGAACAGCACGTGGATTCTAAAAGACATAGGAGTATCAGCTAGCCGCGGCTCATACAGAAATGCATTTTCGTAACACGTATATCTTTGGTATCTTCTGTATTTCCGTATTTTCCGTATATTCTGTGCAGTGTTCGAAACTCACAGGCGCCAACGCGCCAAATGCGCCTAAGAAATCGGTCATTGCGCCTAAAAAATGAGGGTTCTGCGCCAACGTGGCCCCTGATAATTGCCCCTCCCCCTTCCAAAAAAATCCTAATTTTTCTGTTCGGTGATTTTTCGAAATTTCCCTCAAGTTACAGTTACTAGTTCTGTAACTAAAACATATTGCGTCTAACTTTTCACTAAATGCGCCGTGATATACAGGCAAGAAGTCAATCTGGCCCCTAAAAATCGAGCTTGACGCGCCACATGGCTCCTGAAACTCAAAGGCGAGTTTCGAACACTGATTCTGTGGCTTCCGAAACTTCCGTAGCTTCCGTATCTTCCGTAGCTTCCGTATCTTTCGTATCTTCCGTATCTTCCGTAGCTTCCGTATCTTCCGTAGCTTCCGTATCTTCCGTAGCTTCCGTATCTTCCGTAGCTTCCGTATCTTCCGTATCTTCCGTATCTTCCGTATCTTCCGTAGCTTCCGTATCTTCCGTAGCTTCCGTATCTTCCGTAGCTTCCGTATCTTCCGTAACACGGCGGAATATTCCCAAAATCCTCATCTCGATACAAATACTTCGCATCGGAACAGACGGAGATGCATTGAACTCAGTCCCGATTCCGCACCAAGCCGCCTTTCGATGACCCTGACACGTGATGCAATACCGGGGGCGGGGGGGGCCGACCGGGACCAGGGAGCGGATGGGGGGGGGGCATGAATTGGAGCAGAGCGGCGAACAGGGGGTACCGCACCGACCCGAGATTTCGAGTTCCGACCTTGCGCCGGCGGACCGGTGACGTAGGTCTAGTTCGTCCCGCACGAAGTTGCCAGACGAAACGGAAACTGCGCGATTTTTCTACGACGAGATCATCGGGATGAACCGACGATCTGGCAACGTGCGGTGTGGGTTCTCACGACTTGCGGCGGAACTAAAAGACTGGGTCGTGCTGAGTGACCCGAAGCTGCAAGGATCTCCTTCCGGAACTCAGCAATGAGTGACTTTACGATGAGTAAGGCAGTGCTGCTCGATAGTATTATCAAATTACAATGAGGGATTTTCAGGACTTGCAGTCCAGTGGATGGTTATCCACCTGTAGATTTTATCAAGAATATCGATTATGAGAGCCAAATTGGTGGTTTAAAGCCACGCTGGAAAAAAAACACATTGAATCTAGAGTCCAGACTCTTGAAAACATTGACAAGAAAAAATACTCTTGATTCAATCGGATTTTTGCTTGTATCAAAACGAAATCCGCTTAAATCAAGAGGCTTGGTTCTTGATTTAAGCTAGATTCTGATTGAATCAAGAGTACTTTTTCTTGTCGATACTTTTGAGAGTCTGGACTCTAGATCCAATGTGTTTTTTTTCCAGTGTATCTTATGCTAATAGTACATATACAACACCTAAAATTAATTTTGCTCGAATTTACATAATGCCCATTTAGAGGGATTTCACCTTTTATATTTTGAGACATCTTGGACATAAAACAGTTAGAAGTTAGGTAAATTTTACAGTATGGTCAAATTCTTATTTATTCCCTTATAGTAAAGAATTCTAATCTCGTTGCGACTTTATAGCAGAAATTCTAATCAAAAAAAAATCACGTCCTTTCCTATTAGGAGCTGTTCATAAGTGAGGTCAGACTTTTTTGAAATTTACTGACTCTTCTCCCACCATTCTCATCAGACCTTATCTCTCCCCTCGTTCTACTTATGAGGAGTTTGTATGAGGCAGTCCCAGAAACCCTCTCCTCCTCCTAAGTTCCTGGCGTCATCGAAATTCTGTCCGTAGCCTTCTGCATTCCAGTCTTAGACTGTGCAAAAACTCGGAGACTTTAACGCAAGGATAGAAAAGTAAACGAATGCGCACGGGGCCCTTTAAGTATCACGTAAGCCAATCGGCCAACGTTTTGACCCCCCTCTCTATCTCCCTTGTCAGATAACCTGCTACCCCTTCTTTTTCAAGCACATGAACCTGGTTTGCCTCCCCCCCCCCGCCCCAAATAAAATGTCTCTAAATAATAACGCACAGAACCTACAAATTGCTGAGTAAAATTACTTTTAACGATAAATATTGATTTTTTTAAAAAGAGGAGCTTACGTAGGCCTCGGTCTGACAGCCTTATTCCGCCTTTGAGACCCCCATCAGCCGGGCTCAAACCCGATCCTCCTCAAAGGGCTTCGAAAATACTTGAACAGCACCTTAGAGATGAGACCTTTTCATTCATCGTGCTTGTCAGTCTTCAGTATTTTTTCTATAATATTTCTGCAGAGATATTTCGAAAAGTTCCGTTTTAACGATGATGCTTAGCTTTCATGTTAATTAATTTAATATTTGAGGCAATTAAGTCATTATTTGATGTCCGTCTTCTCTTAACCGACAATGAAAGGGATTGATGAATGCAGAGAACTTGTATATATAATTGTCGCAAAGGGAAATTTTTTGATTATGAGTACAAAAAATCCAAGGAAATAATTAAATAGAATATTGAAATCATATTTATGAATTAAATGAGGATATCATAGATGTATCTGTCATGATTCCGTGAAATTTTGATGAAGAAACATGAGCTGCATGGCTTAATTTCGTACCCCGTCTCGTGATCCACTCCACAACGCTCTGAATATAGTTCGACAAAAAAAAGTGGGTCATTACGAGGGTAGTTTCAACACCGACAAGTTCGTGTTTAAAAAAAACACCGTGCGACCATTCAAACGTTGCATAATTTCCTCCA